CCAATTAACATAGAATAGGGTTTTAACAACGGCCTTCGTGGTGCGATTTCGATTCTCGTATTGTTTTTTATACCACTCAGGAGTTACAAGGAATTTAGCAATAAATGTTCATTGCTGAGTGATCGCTCGCTATCTGGCTGGAAAAGATGGTCCAATCCAGGTTGGCTTTCTCCAAGGGAAGTATTGTCCTATCCGCTAGGACTGAGCTATTTGTTTCACTAACGCACATGCCAAAGATAAGGTGGCCATATGTAAAAAGTAGTGTCGGCCATAAATAAAGTAAAAGACCATTATTATTAAAATATTTTGTCGTTTTGTATCGGCCAATTAATATAAGACCACGTGTAAAGTATGTCGGCCTTTTTCTATTGGCCAAGTTTGTAAAATTGTTGTATAAATAGAGGGCTTCTCCCTCAGTAATAAGCAAGCTACTTCCGATCAACTCTCCTCTTCATTCTCTTCTTCTTTCTTTTCTCTAAAGATCCGCTTCCACCCCTCAAATTGGTATCAGAGCCAGATAATAATCAAATAAGATATGGAAAACAAATTCGAAACAACAAATCTACAAAAATAGGTATACTCATTTATGTTCATGAGTAACTAAACTACTTTATTCCTGATAATCTCTTGTTGATTATAATTGTTTATCATGTTTTAATAATGTTCTAATAACCATCTTTAGAAAGTTTGCTACAGAAATATTCTGCGAATAGGTATGCTCAGACTATGCCATCCTAAGGTTGAAACCGATAGGCAAGAAGGCCGTTTAGGGGAGTAAACAAAGTTGAGGCGCTGTTAGGGTAACCAATCAAAAGAAGAAAACTGTAGTAGTGACCAGACGAGATGATTATTAAACCATTATTATTACATAATAAATAAGTATAATCTATTAAGAGGTTGGAAGGAATAAAATTTTAGCGAAAACATGATTAAAATGAACTCCTATTTATTAGATGATGATGTTAATTACAAGATATTAATACTCTATATATTAAAAGGTCTTAATACAGATATAAAAAGAATAATTTATGATATATTATTGACATATGAGGTAATAGAAGTAACAACTCAAGGTTGGGCTGAATTAGTTATACAAGATGATTTTTATGATAATAATTTTGATATAGACTTATATGATGATCTAGAATTATTTAGATATTAATGATAAATTATATGTACCTACAATATTAGAAAGAAACTAAGGAAAACATAGAACTACTTGAAAAATTGCTAATTGAAAATTTATACGATTATTTTACAACTAGAGAAATTGAACATTTAGAATATATTACAGAAAATGTTAAGGAAATACAAAGATTAGAACCACTTAAAGAAGAATATTATAAAAAAATATTTTCTTAAAAAACATGAAGAGTAATACAACATCAAGTAAGAAAACTAAAATAACAAAAACCAAGATAGAAAGAAAAGTGCGAAACATATGGAAAAAGTTACATAGAATATGAATTATCACAACTCACTAAAATAGGAAATGACAAGACAAATCATTTGATAGATATAACTTCAAAAACGGAATATAAATATGTTTGTTATTTGAAAAAGCAATATAAACAAAGAAATATATAAGCAACAATTGATAGAAAAAATAGATGAAAAAATACAAGAACTACAACATAGGAAAGAAAGATTAATAGAAAATATGTTAGCAGGAGTATGTAATAAATCAATATTAGTAAAGATTAATAGAAAATATGTTAGCAGGAGTATGTAATAAATCAATATTAGTACAAAGAAAAGTTATATTTATGTTAGAAATACAAATAGATCACCTTGAATATAAATTACAACATAATATAATTTATAAATTTAATGAATAAAGAAGAGTTTGCAGTAGATGAAAAGACATACGAAAATCAAGATGGATTAATGATAAAAATAATATTTTCAAACCTAGGAAGACGATATAAAAAAATAGGAAATAATTTATATTCAATGTTAGAAAAGAA